AATCAAAAATAACCTATTAGGCCAATTATAAAGTTTAAATGTTTAAACATCATAAATATGAACTGAAGATACTTGCCCTAAAATTTGATGGGAAAGAGTTGTTTTTCTATTAGCTTAGCGAATTCGCTATAGGGAAGTAGCTATTACCGTAGGTGGCACAGTAAGAACTAGGCCCTGGACCGATTTACCTTTTTTCATGTCCCCAGAGGCCAAAAACACTATTCCTTCAAGATGTAAATATATATGAACAAATAGTGTTTTTGGCCTCTGGGGACTTTAGGCCTATTTAACCAAATGTAGGACTTCATGATCGCTAGAGCTGGCAAAAACCTTAATTATATAAAAGCAGGAGGCTGAATTTAAAACTCGTAATTATTTAGCCTGATCGGAGATTGTAACTTTCAGGATCACCAACTCCCCGATAGCTGACGTTTGCTTGGTGTGGGCCAAGTGTGAAGACAACAGAGTACGAGGGTTCCTTGTAGACCGAGGTACTCCGGGGCTGGAGACCCCTCCGATACAAGGCAAGTTCGCTCTACGAGCCTCTATGACGGGAATGATCTTATTGGACTCTGTCATCGTACCTGAGGAAAACATGTTGCCTGGCGTGGAAGGAATGACAGTGAGTATTGTGGATATTGACAGTGATATTGTAGGACGTAGACTCGAATATGGAACTGTTATACGCATTACTTCATGCTAGTCCTAGAGGGTTACGGCATTGTCACTTAGATAAATCCATTGGTGATTGGATCGGGGAGAGAGCTGGTCTAGTGATAGAGTCTCAAAAGGTCCTGGGTTCAAATCCCACCAAATCACCAATGGATTTAATATAAATAATAATGTCGCAACCCTTAGGTCTAACCTGAAGTAATGTGAAAAACAATCCCAGGCTTTTGCCTAGCGTCCTAGGAGGAAACAAATTGATGATTGGCGGAATTTTAACCTGAGAACAGGCTGAAGTCCCACCACCTTCACCTAGACCAGCTCGCTCCCAAGTGTTGACGGCATCTTTCACTATTAACACGTTTGCTATCGCAATAGTACAAAACTTTTCATTCATACCCCTTTCAGACCCAGCAAGCTCATTTGTGTAGGAAAATTTTTAATTCCTGACAACCTAACCAACACAATTGTGTAGGTTAGATGTTTATTTGTTTTTTTTTTTAAGTTTCTGGATCTTTCTGTTGCTCAGACCTGTACGCATCGATTGTACATTTTATAGAGATCAGGTGGGAATTTTTGTTTTGCCTTCATGTCTTATGGTAACACTGATTGTTTTGTTGCAATGTCACGGTAAGATAGGAGAAAGAGGCAATTGTTAAGGTTAATGACTGTTTTATTTATGTTTTTAAACGTATCTAATGCCAATTATTGCTGAAACTGAAATGGTTAATATGGTATTATGAAGGTTTCGTCTTTAAAACAAACCTAATCAATAATTTTAGTATTTGAAATCTAGGCTAAAAACCAACATTTATTCAAAATTTGCTCAGGACTTAAAGCGGTCGAGATGACTAAGATTCCCGGGTCTGAAAGGGATAAAGACCAGTGACGCACATATGCGACGGCCGGTTTCTACCCATAGACAGTCACAATAAAATAGACTGACGACGCATATTTTTCGTCGGTGTTCCAATGTTATCAAAATGCTTATATCTTTGTAACAGTCTATTTGAAAGCACTGAATTCTCTGCTGTGGTCTACAGGGATGTCTGTCGCACAACTGCGTCGCTTGGTCCATGGATATGATGATTGGTGACGAAATATGATAGTTGGAAAAACTTAATATTGTAGTTTGCTTGTTTATAAAAACATTTTGATCAAACTTGGCAAATTTATTGATTTTATACTAAGCCATTAATATTTTACAAAAAAATACACTTTATTAGTTTTCTTGTAGCAGCAAACCAAGGCACTCATTAAACCTAATGTTATTTAAATAGATTTAATTGAAAATCAATTCAGACAAATGGAAATTTGCTTAGTCGGCAGGTTTGCTGTGGCGGGGGTATTTATTTTACAGTTTTACTCCAACTATCCAAATCAATTTGAACCATACCACAATTGTATGGTTGAATTTTTACCAAAATTTTGGGTATTTTTTGCACACCTGCAAAGATTAGCAATTAAAAAATTCACGCTTTTGCCACAATTGTGGAGGACATCTTGACCACATGAGACAACACATATTTAATGATAAAGTAAAATATTTTATTTGACTTTAATTTCAAGCTGTTTGTCCAGGGCCCGTTCACGTGTTTGACATCCGCACGGCAAGGCATCGCGTGGGGAGCGCTGGGGGCCGCGGAGTTCTGCCTGGCCACTGCTCGTCAGTACACGTTGGATCGTGTTCAGTTTGAACGACCTCTCGCAGCCACGCAGCTCATACAGAAGAAGCTTGCAGATATGTTGACTGAGATAACTCTCGCTCTGCATGCTTGTCTCAGACTCACACGTCTGTCTGAGCAAGGCCTGTAAGTCTTCAACTGTTAAGGTTCAAACTACACAAATGTACATTGTTTTACCTAGAAAAACATTTTTCCAATCAAAATAATCAACTAAACTTCTCCACCTCTCTTACTTACACTAATGTCTTCATGTCGGATAGGTCAACTCCTGAGCAGGTGTCCATGATGAAGCGCAACTCCTGTGGGAAGGCACTGGAGATAGCGAGGACTGCCCGGGATTTACTGGGAGGCAATGGGATCTGTGACGAGTATCACATCATACGACACGTCATGAATCTGGAGGCCGTCAACACATATGAGGGTGAGTTAAACTGCAGATAGTTCCAAACACTCAAACAGCAAAGACTTGTCCTAAGCCGGGTATTGTTCACCAGTGTGGCGGCCGGTCCAATATTTCTACCACTCACACGCGTTACTAAGTGTGTGTGGTTGCAAAAATTGCTCAAGTAAACTAAATACCGTATCATTGATGAAGATTACATGACTCCAACAAGTTCACACGGATTATTTATTTAAAATAAAGGAAACCTGTAGGAATAGGAGTAGACAGTTTGCGACAATATGTATATTTTGATATTTTCTTTGCTGTATAAATATTCTTCAGTCAATCTAATGTACTATTTAATTAATTTAACTACAAAAATGATTTTGAAGTAATTTTTTCCTCGACTTTGTAAATGTACCTAAATTGTACCGTACCCACTTTTCGGTGCACCCCAGGGCACAGACCCCTAATATTTTCCTTTAAGTCCCATGACCCACGAGTAAATTTGATCTTATAAATATTTTGAAGTACAGTAATAAAGCAATTCTTTTGCTAATAAACCAGTTTTTTTTTCTTTTCAGGAACGCATGACATCCACGCTCTAGTGTTGGGACGGGGCATCACAGGAATTCCAGCTTTTGCCTCTGTTCCGTGATTTGTTAGTGCTTTAGGCTACTCAATATTATCTGAGGTAGTATTTAAACGCAGGATTAGTTCTTTCCAAGTTCTACTCACGGTTAAAATGTTCAAATTTGTCTGTGATACTTATGTTTTGTTTAATAATACCCGTTGCCTGATTTTCACTTTTATAAAATTTACTACATTTCCACCTACCTTAGCTGTATTTAAGTAAAACTCAGATAGGAACGGATTTTTTTTTAAAAGCTGCACTACAATTCAACACAGATTTTACAATTCACTTGACACAGGGTTTAACCTGCATGTGAAATAAATTGTTAACCCCATATATTTTTTTATCGTTATATTATGGATATTAGAATTTATTTTTGTCTATACTGTATATAATGTTACCTATGGTGCCACATATGTTGATTATAAAATAAAGTCTATATACAAATTTTAATGTTACTTCAGTTCTGTATACGTACCTGAAATCCTGAAAAGTTCTGTCAAATAGTAAAGTATTGAAAATAACTTGATTTTCTCTTGCAAGTTCCGCTTCTAAACCACACCAAAATTGTAACAAATATTTACAATTGGTAACCATACAGACACCAACCGGTCTTTCTACAGTCCGCTACATCTGCAAGCGTTACGCAGAATTGTTGCGCAGAATATCTGCTGTCTTTGACAACACTATTGGTCATCTTTCTTTGTATATCTGCTTTGCAACCATCAAGCACTCACCAACTTGCAACTATTGATGTTTTAAAGTTGCTCACCAGATATTTCACCATTGAGTAAAAAACATATTTTTGAGTATTTCCATGCTGATCAATACCTTGTAAAGGCTGGTAAATCCTAGCTGCCAAATACCCTGTGTTTATGACACAGCACTGCCGATCACTAGTTTTATCAAGCAGCCTATGTTTTGTAAAGGCTGGTAAATCCTAGCTGCCAAATACCCTGTGTTTATGACACAGCACTGCCGATCACTAGTTTTATCAAGCAGCCTATGTTTTGTAAACGCTGGTAGTCATAGCTGCCAAATACCCTGTGTTTATGACGCTAACTCAACACAAAATAGTCAAGTACAGGCTAACCTCAAAAACGCTTTTTTGCTGAAAATTGGTTTTGGCAAGGGTTTTGTAATGGATAGGTTTAACAGCAGACTTACCTTATTGACGGAAATAGAAACACTGAATTTTCATAAAATCCTAAATTTTGTTGTTTCTGTTTCTGCATTTTCATATATTTTTTTACCAAGATATGCCTTTTGTTCAACCTTCCCATTACAAAATTCTTAAACACATTCGTCAAGGGTTACATACCTTGACCTACTTGTCAGGTTGAGCCTGATGACCGAGCGAGTCGACAAAATTAATTTTCTACTGTTTAAATTTTTTTTTAAACAAATCATTCGACTGTCCCTCTACAACATTGTCGTGACTATACTTGTTTACTGTCTTCGTAAAATGTTGACATCATTCATGTGCTTGCATGCAGGATTAATAACACATATTACTTTGATTTGATTATGTAAATAAAATCCATTACTTCTGCATTTGAATGATTAACACTAGCTACAAGGACAGTTGTAAGGTGCATAACCACCTATAAACAATGAATACTGAAATTCCAATAATAATCATTTTATTTCATATAATGGTAAAGTAAATATTAAAACACTGAGAGGATGAAAACAAATTCAGTTAAATATATAAATATGAAAACTACTATAAAAGGTATAAGTCCAGAAACAAAAGAAAATATAAATTATATTACACCCTTCACATGGTAACATCAAAACTGTTTGGATACAAAAACTAGATAACTATATAACATTGTGCTTTGGTGCCTCAAAATAATTTGAAATCATTAATTGCTCAATAATAAATAGATGTAATCTAAGTTTTATCTCAACAACTACACATCCAAATGGGGCGAATTTCAACAAAACATGTTTTCAGGATGTATAAAAAACATTGCTACACTATTAACCCCTTGAGTGCCGTCATGCCTATTTCTTATGGATAAATTGTCGAGCTAATTTCAAAGGAAAATGCAGTAGTTTATATAAAATACAATTTTAGAGGTTTCTGTGTATTTTTTTAATTTTGTGCATGAATAAATTCTCTATGAAATGGTTTAAGATATCACAAAATTTCACAATAAATTAGGACCAAAAAATATTTTTTTAAAACAAAAATTATTATTTAAATTTATTGTTACTATGAATATAAGTTATGCTAAACAATTTTATTATTTTATTCAACATAACAGTCGGATCAAAATTGATGTATAGATAATCAAATTTAGTTCCAAACAAGTTTGAAAAAATTCAATAAAAATAATATATAACAATCCCAAATATGTGGTTGCTAAGCAATGCCAAACTGGAATTCTGTAATATAAATAACTATTATGTTTTACTTTGTTGTCAGTGAAGATTGTTATCATTACTAATAAATAACCTTTGCCAATGTATAAAAGAAAAAAATAGTGAAAAACTTCTCTAGCCGTATTCGCACACATAACTTCAACTTGAAAACCACAAAAAAACGTCAAACAGATGATACCAGATGTCATCTATGACGAAAATGGATAAAATGGTGTCTGCAAACAGACCAAAGGCAACGAAAATGCTACAAAACTGATATCCGGTAGCTTTTGAATCAAAACAACGTGTTTTTAAAGCCAGTATGTTGTTGGGTGTTTTAATGGGTACTTAAATGTAGGCATCAATATCCCATATTAACTTTTTAGCGGGTTATACCAGGAAAACTAAACTCCGCATACCTTCATAAGAGACAAAACTGCACTTTTTGGTCGGTATAACAATTTTGCCCGGGACCCCGAAATGGGGTTTTTTTGAGGTAGCTCAACAATTTTAAATGTAAAGCCCCATCGAGTGACACCTCATTTTAAAGGCCTTTATTAAAGAAGAATATCAGAGAAAACTAAAGGTCTCTATCTCAACCCAGTACGACATGGCGGTCATTTGAAAATTCATCGTACAGTTTAACCTCATTAAAAGTTTCTCTCAGGCTGATGAAAATTTAAAATGATTGCCATGTCGTACTGGGTTGAGATAGAGACCTCTAGTTTTCGCTGATATTCTTCTTTAATAAAGGCCTTTAAAATGAGGTGTCACTCGATGGGGCTTTACATTTAAAATTTTGGAGCTACCCCAAAATACCCCATTTTGGGGTCCCAGGAAAAATTGGGATACCGTCCAAAAAGTGCAGTTTTATTTTTTATGAAGGTACAGTGCCGGATTTAGGGTACTTGCGGCCCTAGGCCAAATTACTTGAGCGGCCCTCCCCCTGTGGTGAAAATTCCTTGCGATAGCGGAAGTAATAGTGACTATCTCCTATACATCAAGGGGACATCATCATCGACACCCGTGATCCTGGATGAAATCGTGGACATCTCTCCTAAACCAAGTCAAAGCCATCATAACTATGATGGCTTAGTGATCATAACCATCCGGGACCGCAGTAAAATCGTGAACATCTCCCGCGGGCCACAATCACGGGGACATCATCATCGAAACTTGCGATCGCGGCAAAGTCGTGTTAAAAACCTCTCCCGTAGACTGCGATCATGAGGACTTCATCATTGACACCCCCAGCCGCGGCGAAATCGTTAACATCTCCCGTGAACCGCGATCACGGGGACATCATCATCAACACTCGCAGCCGCGGTGAAATCATGAACATCTGCCGCGGGCCGCAATCACGTGAACATCATCATCATCGACACTTGCGATCGCGGCAAATTCGTGTTAAAAAAATCTCCCATGGACTGCGATCTTGAGGACTTCATCATTGTCACCCGCGGCCGTGCCGAAATCGTAAACATCCTCCTCGGTAAGCCACCACGGGGACATCCACATTGACACCCCCAGCCACGGCGAAATCGTTAACATCTCCCGTGGGCCGCAATCACGGGGATGCATCGTCAACACTCGCGGCCGTGGTGAAATCATGAACATCTGCCGCGGACCGCAATGACGGGGACATCATCATCGACACTTGTGACCGCGGCGATATCGTGAAAATCTCCCGCACACGGGCCGCAATCACGGGGACATCATCATTGACAGACAACTCGATACAGCATCTAATTCGTGAACGTCACCCGCGGCCGCGGCTAAATCATGAACGTCTCCCGCGGGCCGCAATCACGGGACATCATCACAGGCACCCGAGGCCGCGGCAAAATCGTGAACATCTCCCTCGGTCCACGGAGACATCATTATGGTCACCTGTGATGGCGGCAAACTGGTGGTTTAAAATAAATTATTTTTTAAAAATTTTATCTCAAAAAATGTTTTTCCCAATCCTCTGCGGCCCCCTCTTGCTTGCGGCCCTAGGCCGCGGCCTAATCGGCCTAGTGGTAAATCCGGCACTGTGAAGGTATGTGGAGTTTAGTTTTCCTGGTGTCGCCCATTAAAAAGTTAACCAGGGGTATCCACACATTTGCCCAACCCTGTATAAAATACTGAGAGTCGCCGTCAGCGACGCTTGACAATTAATATATTATTTTATTATCACATTGCTTCGCTATGAGCGATGCTACGGCACTAAAAGGGTTAAGGATAGTACCTGTAAAGTAGTACCTGTAAAGTAAACCCACAATTAGAATAGTTTGTTCAATGACTAAAAAGTATAAGCTAAATCTACAAAAACATAAGCATTGTTTTGGAATAGTTTATTAAACACCATAACATAACAAGTACAAACAAAGTAAAGCACCCTCACAAGGGAAATCAGTGCCAATATTATAAGTGTTTCACAACTTTTTTGGAGTACAAAGAAGTGAATAAAATAGAAAAAGTTGAGAAAGTGATACGAATAACATACTGCTAGGTTAGGAGTTCGAACAGAGCAAGGAAATTTAACAAATTTAATATAATAATAATAAGGTAATAAATAATGCTAGGCACTGACATTGTTCCATTCAAAGTATTATCATAGTAACAATTATGTAAGATTCCACGGTGAAAAACATATTTTAATGTTTTAAAAGGTAATTTTATTTCACAATTCAAAGCTTAAACAATTTTACTATGAAGTGTTATGTTTGAACAAAGTAATTCGAGTAAAAATAACGAACAAATTAAACATACAAGTTGATCGATATTCGTAATGTCTAAATCTTAAAATAACTTACATAAATAAGTAATTTTATAATAAATTCCTCTACATTACATCTGCAGGCTACAGGACCACCATGTTTTATAAACAGCAAATTCAGCACTATCACTTGGCATTCAAGTTGTTTGCAGCCCTCAAGAATCACAATAAAACACGACTAACTACAATTCAAACCCTGACACGATAGGAAAATAATATATATGTTCATTTATTTATTTGCCGCTAACTTCTCATTTGTACAGGTATCAGAGAGCAAATCTATTACAATAAGTACTCGATTAGAAAATTCGCTATAACAGTTAAATATTTAAACTCGACAACATCTATTTGATACAGAAACCTTTATATTACATAGCTGCCCCTAAAAATAAATACAATATTTAACGAGAGCGAATTAACATTAAATACAATATTAGATGGAATTTGTACAAAAATTAATCGGTACAGAAGCTAATAATACATTTGAAGGGAAATCCCGATGCAACACTATACTACATCACTTGTAACATTTACACAGATTTATATAATACATTACAAGAACAAGAACCGATGGTCCGCACACCGTCTGCCTGGATAACTAAAAGCGAGGTGTGTTCCTTGAGTCCAAGACCCTTCTTATCTTATCTACACTACTCTATACATAACAGTGAAACAATTTATAAATTATACTCAAAAACAGTTCGACACTACATTCTATGTGGTGTTTTCGATTGATATTTTGTACCATAAGTATTTCCTAGGGACAAAGCAGCACAGGGATGGTAAATGATAAATTAACATGAAGCAAAAATACTGGGTTTCGCCCCTATGTTACGCATTTGAGGAGTCTTTCGTAAACGGCTCGTTGAGTCTTCTCAGTCTAGATCCACTTCGGTCAGCAGACTGATAGCTAGAAAAAAATTATTTTAGAGTGACTGCACAAATAGTTTGTATTGTTATTATTTTCATGTTAAAAAAAAAACAGTAAAACCGTAACAAACCAAATGATTGGAATTTAAAAGGCATTTTAGTTCAAATAAATAAACAACAGAAGCTAAAAAGCTAGATTAATTACTGTGATCTTCAAATATACAACTGTGTAGACAAAATATTTTTCTTAAAATAATCGACAATTGTTTTTTAACTTGATCTCACACTATAAAATCTGTATTTTCAAACGCACCATTACTTTGTTGGCTAATTGTCCAACTATCCACGCCACGGCAGATAATTCAAATTTCCTGTATAATTTTCCAATTGATTTGAATTTTTAACTATGACTTCAGTTAACCCCAGTTTTGATTAACGAGGTGCAGTTAAAAGGGGTTTACTATATTTGTTCATTAGTTTAAAACCAATTAACAAGTTAACAGTACATTGTTGGTTGTTAACAATGGAACTCTTGTAGTTTACTCAAAATAAACACCAAAAATAAATATTTGACATGTTTGAACTACTAACACAAACGTAACCTTTCACCAACAAGAAATTGTCGTATTGTTTCTATATGCAGAGACAGAAATAAATATACTTGAGAGTAATGCATAATTTCCATTAATATTTACAACTAATTTAAGGTACATAACCTTTGTATATTATTGGATTGGTTAATTGTAAGTGGATGTATTGGTTCACTAACCTGCTATCACCAAGACCAACCTAGTTTTATAACTTTCATCCATGAAACGGCAATGTATGTCATATTTAAGAGGCTAAATTATAACTATCCAAGTAATCTTAGAGTCCTCCAATAAAGATCGTTTTTGACACCTATGATGATATTTTCTTAAAATTACTCACTCTTAGGAGGTCGTCCTAAGTACATAAGAACACTTAACACATACAGTCAACGAACATAAGCAAAACATGATTAAATGCATGGCCATAAACATTTTTAACTACGGTACGACAGTGGGTACAGGGTGCAGGTTAGCAAGTTGTACGGCCATGTATTTTACCGTGTTTTGTCTATGTTCGTTTGTGACGTGTGTTAAGTGTTTTTTAAGACATAAGAGTATGTATTATGAGTGAGTGTAATATATAAGGCTATATTACATTGCCAGAAGAATATTGAGTTTGTGTGTGTGGTTGGCTGCACTGCTGAGTGACGTCACCGACTAGGAACGATGGCACGAAGCGGAGTGGAACGGCAGTCGGAGTTGTCATGCAATTGAGTAAGTCGTCCCAAGTATCGGGTTCCCTTTTAACTTATTTAATTAGTAATACAGTTATTACATTTGGCGACGAGGATGGGATATCGGAGTTTAATCCGTACGAAGAAGATATTAGTTCGTATTTGTTACGTTTGAAACACTTTTTCAAGGCCAACGAGGTCAAGGACGTGAAGCAGGTCTCCATCTTGATTACTGTAATAGGCCCTAAAATATTAGCCGTCCTCACCGATCTTATTTCTCCTAAGAAGATTGATGAAGAATCTTACGATAATTTGAGCAAAATCTTGGAAGATCATTATTCTCCTAAACGCCTTGTGGTCGCTGAGCGTTATACTTTTTATAGTCGATGCCAGAAACAATCTGAAAGTATTGCAGAGTTCGTGGTGGCAGTGAAGCATTTGGCTTCGACGTGTGATTTTGGAACATTCTTATCGGATGCACTGAGAGACAAGTTAGTTTCGGGAATTAAAAATGAAGCAATTCGTCAAAAATTACTTTCCGAAGAAATGGATTTGAAGAAAACGTTGGCTCTTGCACTCAGGCTTGAACAGGCCGAGAAACAAACAGGTATATTCTCGAATACAAGTGTTCAGGAAATTTCCAGGTTTCAGGTCAAGAAGAATGCACGTGTTTCCAACCGAGGTTCAAATTTTCACAGTGCGGGATCTAAATCAAATTCAAGTGATGTGAAGGGAGATATGTCTCAGATAAATAAGTGTTTTCGTTGTGGCAATCCAGAGCATAGGGCTAATAATTGCCCGTATAGTAATTACAAGTGCCATGGGTGTAAAAAGTTGGGTCATATCAGTAAGGTTTGCAGGTTCAAATTAGAAAATCCAGTGAAAAATTCCATAAAAAGTGGTAAATTTAAAATCCATCAGATGGAAGAGGAAAATAGGCCTAGGCCTAGTGATGGTCCAGATGAAGTGGAGTTTGAAAGTTTGTCTTTGTACAGTATGAATTCTGGTGATCATGTTTCTGCCTTTAAGGTAAGCCTAGAAATAGAGAATGTATCCGTATTAATGGAAATTGATACTGGCTCGGCACTAACTGTGTGTCCTCAAGAATTGTTTAACAAATATTTCCCTCATGTACAATTGAGTACTGTAGATATCAAGTTGCTTACATATTCAGGCAATGAAGTCAATGTTATTGGACAAGCTTTAGTCAAAGTAACCTACATGGACCAGACTTATCAGTTACCTATGATAGTCATTAAGATTGATCGTACGAATCAGCCTATGCTGCTAGGCCGTAGTTGGCTACAACATATTGCTTTTGACTGGAAATCTATTTTTACTTGTAATTTTAATAGCCTATCAGGCAGTTTTAAATCTAAGGGTGGTGAACCTAACCTAACCCTAGGTAAGGCCGATGAGCCTAAAGTCGTTTCTGGTTTGAAACAAAAGTATGCCTCTGTGTTCAAAGGAGGTCCTGGTGAAATTAAGGATGTTGAGGCACGTATTGTGCTAAAAGAGGATGCTGTGCCAAAATTTTGTAAATATCGCCCTGTTCCTTACGCGTTGCGTAAATCAGTAGAAGATGAGATTGATAGGATGATTGCTGAAGGTATTGCTTATCCCGTTACCAGCTCTCAGTGGGCTACTCCTATTGTGGTGATTCAGAAGAAAAGTGGGGTGCGACTCTGCGGGGACTTTAAAGTAACCCTTAATCAAGTGATCCAGTCGGAACACTATCCCTTGCCTCAACCGGAGGACATTTTTGCTACTCTAGCAGGTTGTAGCTGGTTTTCAGTTTTGGACTTGGAGGCAGCGTATCTCCAACTTCCTGTGGCGGAGGAGTCCCAACCACTCTTGACTCTAACTACGCACAAAGGCTTAGTGCGTTTGCGACGTCTGCCGTATGGTTTGTCTTCGGCTCCGGCTCTCTTTCAAGCGGCCATGGACAAAATTATTGGTGGCCTACCTGGGTCAGTGGCATATTTGGATGACGTACTGGTGGGTGGATCTTCGCAAGAGGAAGCGTTGTCACGCTTGGAGAGTGTTCTTCAACGTCTTCAAAGTTATGGAGTCAAGGTAAATGATTCTAAATGTAAATTCTTACAGCCGTCAGTACAGTACCTAGGCTACTGTTTGTCGTCCAAAGGGATCAGCCCGCAGGAGGGTATTTTGGAGGCGATTCGGAACGCACCCGAGCCAACTTCAAAGGAAGAGTTAAGAGCCTATGTAGGCCTTATAAATTATTATGGGAAGTTTATTTGCAATCTTTCAGACAAACTTAGCTGTTTTTACGATCTACTTCGTAAGGATGCACCGTGGGTATGGTCATCACAATGTTCTTCTGTTTTTCAAGAAAGTAAGACATGGGTATTGTCTTCAGATGTCTTAGTTCATTACGATGTAAATAGACCATTAGTTTTGACTTGTGACGCAAGTCCACGAGGTGTTGGTGCCGTGCTTTCGCACCTTATTGATGGAGTAGAGAGGCCTATTGCCTTCGCATCGAAATCCTTGAGTGCTAGTGAAAGAAATTATTCACAGTTGCATAGAGAAGCTTTGGCTCTTGTTTTTGGAGTAAAAAAATTCCATAAATATATTTACGGTAGGAAAAATGTTGTGTTACAGACTGACCATGCTCCTTTAGTGACAATCTTTGGAAATAAGCGGGGAGTTCCCTGTGTCGCCGCTGCGCGTCTTCAACGATGGGCCCTGATCCTCTCCGCCTACAGTTTTGAAGTAAAGTACCGCCGTGGCTTGGACTTGCCACATGCGGACGCTCTTTCGAGATTACCGTTACCTGATGACGACCAATTGGAGCTGGATTCCAACTACATCTCTCATGTTTCTTCCCTGGTAGAGGCCTTTGACTGTTTCAAATTGGTGAGTGATCTCAATCCTATTACTGCTAAGGATATCGCTCGACTTACTGATACTGATCCTGTTTTGACAAAGGTCAGAGATTTCATTTGGCATGGATGGCGTGATAGTCAAGATTCTGAGCTGGTTGCTTATTTTCGAAGAAGGGATGAGTTGTCCGTAGAGAACCAGTGTGTTTTATGGGGTAGTCGAGTAGTGGTGCCAGAGAAACTGAGGAGTGCCGTTATCCAATTGCTGCATGATCAGCATCCCGGAATAAATAGGATGAAAATGTTAGCCCGAAGCTTTGTTTGGTGGCCGGGGATTGATAAAACCATTGAAGAGACTGTTCTCTCATGTCATGTGTGTCAGTGTACAAGGAATGCTGTGGCTAAGGTGCCATTATGTCAGTGGCCTAGAGCTTCAAGTAGGTGCGGAAGACCCACTAACAAGACAACAAATGCTCATAGTTGTTGATAGTTTTAGCAAATGGCTAGAAGTGTTTATCATGAAATCTACTACATCGTTTAAAACCATTGAAAAACTGCGTACGCTGTTTGCGTCTTTTGGCCTACCGGAAGAATTGGTCAGTGATAATGGTCCCAATTTTGCTAGTGGGGAATTCAGAGAATTTCTGAGCAACAACGGTATTAAGTTTACGCTCTCACCTCCTTACCATCCTGCCTCGAATGGGGCTGCAGAAAGATTTGTACAGGAAGTCAAGAAGAACCTTAAAAGACAGGTTATGGCTAGTGGTTCTGAGACCATTTCTTTACAACATAAATTGGATAATTTCCTCTTTGCATTTCGCAACACACCCAGTACTGTCACTGGTGTTACCCCTGCGGAATTGTTCCTTCAATGGAAACCGAGAACTAAGTTGACAATGCTTAAACCCTGTTTATTGTCAGCCATTGATAAGAAGAGGGAGGCGCAGAAGGAAGCAGCCGATAACCATCGGGGAAGTTTCAGATCCTTTGTGGAGGGAGAAAAGGTGCTTGTGAAGTCAGTACGGCAGGAGATCATTTCTTGGATTCCTGGGAGAATTTTGGAGCGGAAAAGTCCGTCTACTTATGTGGTGAGCGTCCTGGGAGGTAAAATACGTTTCTGCCACGCTGATCATTTGAGATCTAGTAAGTTGACTGAGGAAGAGGAAGTTACAGTCAATAGGCCGGTAGTGCAGTCTCCGATCAAATCCCCTGAGAACAAGTCTGCTGTGGGAATACAAACTCCGCCAGAGCGATCACCTCGTGTCATGGAAACTCGGAATACATCACCAAGACAACAACGGAGTGTAGGCCTACCAAAATCTCCAGCTACGCACACTACAGACGAGCATCCCGAAGTGCAGCCCAGCCAGCAGTGCAGCCCGCCATCACTTCGGAGATCTCAAAGGACTGTGCAAAAGCGGCTTGACCTTTAAGTTAAAAGGCCGAGTTAGAGAGAGAAGATTTTATGTTTATTTTATTTGAAGAAGAAAAGTTTATTTAGTATTACTGAAGTATTTTGTGAAGCTTATAAACAAACAAAAAAAATTGTAAAAGAAGAAAAAAAAAAAATGTTGATTTGGCTTAGCCTAGAAGAAAAAGGTTAGGCCGTTAGAGAAGAGTTTTATTTTAAGTTTGGGCGAGTGTAATATATAAGGCTATATTACATTGCCAGAAGATTATTGAGTTCGTGTGTGTGGTTGGCTGCACTGCTGAGTGACGTCACCGACTAGGAACGATGGCACGAAGCGGAGTGGAACGGCAGTCGGAGTTGTCATGCAATTGAGTAAGTCGTCCCAAGTATCGGGTTCCCTTTTAACTTATTTAATTAGTAATACAGTTATTACAGTGAGAATATTTTTGACTTCAAAATGACACCATAGGTGGACACCAGAGCTATTTGGACAGTAAGGTAACTTAGCCACTAGTATACTGTATATATTGTTTGTCGAGTAATCTGGAAGGCAATACAAAAATTACTATGTATTGTTGTATTGATTCACTAACCTGCTGTCACCAGAATCACCCAATGTTAAGCTGCGCGCAGTCAAGACTTCGTCGGACCTTATAGATGAGTCACTACAATCACACAAACATGCACTACGGCATTAGTGAAGGTTGTTAGTGAAGCAACATTATCACTAACAAAACTAGAAGGAGAGGTAGGGGGAATTGATAAGTAACTGACTGCCATCGGTTAACCAGTTATACAGGGTGTCCCGGAACTCTCTACCAATATTTTAGGGCATTGATCCTGGGTAAGAAACGTACCTAAATATCATATTTAAATTGTTCGGAAGTCCTTAGTTACTCACACAGCCGCCATTTTGTTTCTTTAAGTTATACATTTTTTTCTAAAGAATGGTAACATACGAAATGGAAACTTTGCACAAACATTTATGACAACTAGACAAAGCTACAAAAAAATTATGAAGATTTTTCAAATTCATAAAACAAAATGGCGGCTATTTAAAATTTTCTTTCTTAAATAACTCAAAAACCATTGATTTTACAAAAATTTTAAATGGCCGCCATTTTGTTTTATGAATTTGAAAAATCTTCATAATTTTTTTGTAGCTTTGTCTAGTTGTCATAAATGTTTGTGCAAAGTTTCCATTTCGTATGTTACCATTCTTTAGAAAAAAATGTATAACTTAAAAAAACAAAATGGCGGCTGTGTGAGTAACTAAGGACTTCCGGACAGTTTAAATATGATATTTAGTTATGTTTCTTACCCAGGAGCAATGCCCTAAAATATTGGTAGAGAGTTCCGGGACACCCTGTACATGTGTCGATTTAACTGCCCCGTATTTTACAAAGTGATGTTTCTGTTTACAATTTTTTCATATTAGTATGCATATAATTGGTTTTTACGGGTTGCAAAAATTTTTTTTGTCATCAGCAAAAAAACGGTTGTTTTTAATAAATGTGTTGCGGGTCTAAAGTAGCATTTTTACTCCCTAGGTAGTAAACCCTTTTTAGTCCCTAGGGAGTAAAAGTCAGCTGCTGTAAACAGTTGTTGACGGTATAATGTACAGTAGCACAATCACAATAGACAAAATTATTGAATTGTTTACTAAAAAAACTGATATTTACAATAGCAGAATTGAAATCTAACTGAAAGTAGTTTTGAGAGGTTATCTTTCCATGAAAGGTTTTTTATTTTTTAGCTTAGTTTGTTAATTAATGATACAATTTTAAGAAAAACATAGTTCACCTCGGCTTTGCTCGATCATGACACTTGAGCTCGTGTTGAAAAGAGTCACTTTACGCCCTAGGTATGAAATGTACTATTTTAGTTAGTTGTAAATTTTATTTTTCTCTCCTTTAACATTAAAAAATATATTTTTTAATGATAATGTTTTAACTCCTAAAACATTATTTTTTGTATTACTGAACAAGTGCAGGGAATTAATATAAATATAGTACATAACTTAAATTATTATGAGACACAGCACAAAGGTGACAAGTATTATTTTCAGGAAGAAAAACTAAATATCAATAAAGAATGATAATTAAAAAAGATCTTTTGTTTCAAAAACCACTATGCACTTGTTTACACTTTTCTTCTTCTAACCTACAAATGCACAGAATATAACAAAGACTAAAAATTATCTGATTAAAAGACGGAACATTTGCCAGGAATTGTTAAGGAAATGACAGGATATCAGGCTTACCTATTATAGCCTACATAAAAAAGACTAAACATTTATTTTTCTCTTAAAAAAATATCAAATTGGCGAGGATATGATGGGCTCAGGAGTTAGATTAGGGTATTTATAAAAATTAGAAGTTATGACAGTTTAAACTCAATTTACGTTATGAATTAAGAAAAACACAAAACTACAGGAAAGGAAACCCATCTAAGGAAAATAATTGTTAAAAGCAGAGACTGAACAAAGGTTAACAAGTGAAACACTATCAATAACTTTTGATCGAAATTTAAATTTTGGTAAACTTTTAATTTTTAATAAGAGTTTTAATTCCAATTTACTCATTTTTTGTTCATTTTGTAACATTCTCATGATGAATTTAGTTTTAAAATACAATATATTTATAAAATACATATAATTCAACAATAAAATTTTTTCAAGTTAACTAAAACAAACACATATTATTGTGGTCTTAAAAAATAGTTTGAATTTAATTTATTGTATTTGAGTACACAAAACAACAAAAATGAATGTTATAAATTTATTGAAAGCTGATTAAATTGCACTACATAAAATTAGGGTGTCTACCAAAACCTGGAAGCTAAACCAAATTATATAACAAAAGTAAAACTGACTTCGCCACTCTCAAAGACTTCAAAATATTTCAATATTTCACTCACATGTGTTTAAAATGAGATTGTTATTAATAAAAACCAAATATGGCTGAGTGGCAGTGTCTTGGACTTACAAGCCAAACGTCGCTGGTTCAAGACCAGTCCCCTGATCTATATTTTTACTGTGGTGTCCACTGCCTCACCAAGAAGAATTTAACCATCACGATACTTAGCTGACTTTATATGTACACAGACCAGTAAGATAAACATTTATTTCTAAGATGAATTTTTAAGTTTTGTTTGGATTATAAAAAATTGGAGACCAAAGTTTGAAAATGAAGATAATCTACCAGATAGCAAGATCTACCAGTAGATGATGTTATTTTACAAACTTCATGAGGTATCAGAACTTATAGAAATTTGTTTAATCCAGGTTTTGGCGACATATTGTGAGTTACTGAGTCACCAACTGTAAGCAGTTGTATTGTTACGTTGGGGTTGTTGTTACCTGTCAGAGGATGCCGCAGAGTTGTCGTCCGCATCCTCCATATCTCCCTCGATGGCGCACTGCAGGTCTTCAATTCTCTGCAGAGCCAGACGCAGGTCTGACCTTGCGGCTGCTGCGTCTGACTCCGCTGTATCAACACTCTTCTCCATCTCTCTCATCTTTGCCTGCGCCTCTTGCTCTTTGCTTGTCAACAGGACATTCTCATCTCTCAGCTCCCTGAGTTGACGATTGCAGGTTTTGATTTTTTCTTGAGCCGAATGCTCTCTTGCTTTCATTGCTTCTACTTCGCTTTGAAGCCTCTCATTGTTTTCTTTTAGTCTTGTTATTTGCACCTGAAATCACGTTAATTTAGCAAATTTTTCTTAAACAAAAGGAATTTTGTAATGTGTTGTGGCCTATTATTGTGTACCTTTGTAAGTCCATGGTCTGTACTTTTTTAGGTAAGCTAACCCTACTTGATTTTTTTAAAAGGAATTCAGCTTAAGTGATTATACCTCCAATAGTTATTATTATTTGTTGGGTATCAAACTCTTATGTGGGTGGCAAACTAAAATAATTTATACTTGGGGAATCGATCAAATATAGATGTAAATTAATTAGTTACACAGGACAAACGAGGAAGTCGCCAGCGCATTCAAACAGAACTTATCCCCACCACACTCAAATGTAGATTATCATAAGGATAAATATGACATCCTGTAAATTTTCCAAAAACAAAATTGTGGTAGACGCGTTCTGCGATTGCAATAGTAAAAGCTTGGCATGACTCGGTTTACTCTCTTTAAAATACCCTGAATTTCAGTTAAAGTCCAACTATACAAATTTTTGATTATCAGAATGGGGTCTATTCCCAATTTATTCGGATGGTTGGAGTTCTACTTTACTTGTAACTGTAAGCACAAAATAAAAATGTTACTAGCAATTTTAAGACTATCTTTTACTTATACTTAAGAACCTTTGCCGTAATCACACTCACTTGTAATCGAGATCGCGTCGTCTGCTCCAGTTCCAATTTGCTCTCCAGTTCTTTGGTTTTCAGCTGTAGTCGTTTGACAGCCAGGGAGGAGTTGGGGTCGTTCATGGTCTCCATAGATTCAACTCTTGTAGACAGCTCCGCCAGCTGCTCACGCAGAGAAGATCGCTCAGTCTCTAGCTCAGCGATGCGGCTCGCTTGCTCCTGCAGTGACATCTGCTCTTGCGACAACTGCTGTACTGTCGCTCGATACTTCTTCAGCACCTACAAAATTCATTGTTGGTTAGTTGTGGTTCTAAGACTTTCATGAAGGAAAAACTTCATAGAGATGGTTGGTCAATAACTTGAAAAACTGTAATTTTTTATATGGGTATATGGACTGGAACTTGCACAATCGCCTCCCTAGACAAAAGTAGGCTAAATAATTGAGGAATATGAAATTAAATTATAAGTAGAACAATTTAAATTTGTGAAAACTAAAAGAAAACTTTGAATTGATTCTCCCATACTCTTTTAACAACTTTCTGGGATAAAATGTCAATTTACGTTTGAACTTGTGGACAAAAAAAGATAGGTTAAGATTTGATTAATTATAGTTTTAGGTTATAAAGAGTAATGTGTTTAAAGTAGCACAGTTTTGAAAACTTTGTGTGAGAAGTAAAAATATAATTTCATTTAATGGCGATCAGTAAAAAAATGTTTTTTGGTTCTTGTTCACTCATACTAAATTACCCTAAAAGTTGAACACACTTTTGAATTCTATTACTATAGAAGTGCTGAGGGGATATACTTACATCAGCGAGTTCCTCTTCATTCTCGTCCAGCTGTGACTGAAGCTGGGAGCGTTCCCTCAGCAGAGAGGATGCTCGATCCTCAGCCTCCGTGCGAGCCTTGGTGGCGTCCTCGAGTGCAGACGCTGCCTCGGAGCGCTCAGATTCAGCAGCTTGCTTGGCTTTGACTGCCAAAGACCTTGCACACTCTGCATCCTCCAACTACACATATCAACATAACTGATTAATGAGAATATGATGAATTCTTTTACAACTCATACTGTGGGAATGCTCAATTACATATGCTAAACATATGCTTCAGTAAGGGGTGGTATCAAGAAGTCAACTGTATAGTTAAACTATAACTAAAAAAATATGATACGGTGCAAAAATAGTTAACTACGAGGATTGCCAGTGAATTAAGGTCTCCATTGAGCTCCAGTTGCTTACTTCATCTTCTTCTATTGTTCCAATCCCATGGGTAGATTGGTCTTGTCATAGCATTCTAAAAAGTTTTAGAAGAAAAATTGACACTCCTGAAATGTTTGGATCACGTTCCGTAATAAGATTTCTGTAGGAAGGAAATAATAACTTGTGATTACTGCTGAAAGTTGGCAGATGCAAAGAAAAGTGTTTTGAATGATAACATGTGCATAAGTGGCTTAGAAAGTTTCCAGAGAGGTGTGCACATTTGCACATTGGGCCAGCAATAGGTAATATGTTCTGTTTCCATCGAGGTAACGATCGAATTTCAAGAAACATTGCTTGCTGATTGGTGTGTTTAAGACTTCCAACGCTGACCATAGTCCTTGATAACTTATAGAGACATCCTCTTTTTATTTCAAAAATCCCTCTTGTTCAGTGAAACCATGGTCAAAGTTTCAAACTTGGCTGATGAAAGACAGCAGTTGCTCTATAACATAGGAAATATTGAGCAAATTTCTTAATATGTGATCGAACAATGTTAATTAACGACTGAGACCACAGAAATCAATTTGTAGAATGCAATTATACATGGCGAAAGCATAACTTTTCTTTCACAAGGTTTTGAGACTTAACTGATACATAGAGGTGGAACCAGATAGAATAGTAGTGTAGTGGATGAAGTAAAGAACACAATGTTACTAGTTCACTTAGCTGCGACGGGAGTCCGATGGGGACCCAGACTCACCTGGTTGCGTAACTGTCGCATAACAGCTTTGTTCGGAGCGTCTGACCGGGATTGTTCGATGGTGGTTTGAGCATCCCGGAGCAGAGCCTTGGTCCGCTTGAGGTCCCTCCGCAGTTTCTGCAGCTGTTCCTGTTCGCTGCTGCGGTTGCTGTGTATCTTCTCTTCGTACTCTGCCAGTTTGCGTTCCATCTCGTGACGCTCCCGTAACAATAGAGTTCTCTGCTCATGCTCATTTTCCAGTTGACATTCTAAAGCTAAAATCACATGATTTTTCTTTATTAAAATGTGTTATTAAGAGATTTTAATACTGAGCTTACAAAGCTTTTTTTAGTTCTCCAACATTTTAAAATAGATTAAAATCAAGTATCACTAGGATCTCTGAACATTTGAGTTTTTATCAATCTAGCAAATGACAATTTTTAAGCTACAAAAAATTAACAACCAAAAAAGCAACAAAAAATTTCATCAACAAACATACTACTGTAAACAATATTACGGATTGTAAGTACGATTGCAGAAATTCCTATACAAGGTTTGGTACCTAATGTAAGATTTTAAACCCATAAAAAGTTTATTATTCACCACATATTTTAATAGTTGATTCTTACTTCAAAATATTTTATATATTTTAATTAATTACTACAAATAGAAACCACTATTAATATAAATTTCTCTGTTACAACATGAAATTGCCTGAGTAGTACCTTTGACTTTCTTGTGAGCGTTACACCGCACCTCCTCCAGTTCTTCATCTCGCTGAGCTAATTCCTTCTTGTTCTCTTTACGTATCTGTTCCAGTGTCATCTCCAATCTCAGCTTAGCCTGCTCCAAAAGTTGGACTTGACCTGCTAGATCATCTAGCTCCTCCTCCTATCATAACAAACACACCACCGACTTAGCCTTACTGAAACTGCTGCTACATCAATTGAATGAAACTTTACACTCTTTAATATTCAATTGACAAAGAATTCAAAAGACAAAAGTACTTACGAAAGTACCTGAAATTTGTACAAGCTCTTAAGACAAAATCCTAAAATGGTAATGATTTTGAAATTCAAGAGTTATTTGTTATCTTGAGACACTCTGTATCACGGTTTACAAAACAAAGCATCCTATGTGAAGGCAATGTATGAATAAATTGCTTTTCTTACCAAAGGGCTCTTGCTATTGAGGGTCTTTTCACTGAAATACTTTGTTGAAAACAGTATGACAAACTTATTTTTCAGTTGTGACATTAAAGTATGATAAACACACCTGTTCTTTAACTTTGTTCTGTAATTGGTGTTTGGCCTTCTTCAGCAAACCTACGTCCTCCTCTGTGCTTCCACTGAATGTTAGTTCACTGAGTTCAGCGGTCAAACTGTTCACTTTCTGCTCTTTCAGCTCCAATTCAAGTTTTACCCCCTAAAACAGGTATTAGAATAATTAACAATGAAATCTTTAGTTTTAAAAGTCACAGGAATACGATAAAGAAGAAGAAATTGATACACACTTAAAACTTACCAGAATAAATTTTACCCTAGTTAATACTCTACATGTTAAGCAATCAATGACTAACTTACGCTTAAGTTTTGCTCCATCGTGTATTTGTCTGCTAGAGCCATCTCCTTCTCCCTCAACGCTCGCTCCTTATTGGTCTTTTCCTGTCGCAGTTCATCTGTAAGCAGCTGGATTTCTGTGTCGAATCTGAGGAGTACAAATGATTAACCTTTATACCACAAAAATAAAATGTTATGACGACTTAACAGTTTTTATTGAGTGTCCTCAGGAGTAAGTAAGACCTCATGAACTCAAAGCTTTCTATACCCTCCATTTATCCTAAGAGCCCAATGGAACCACTATGGTAGCCTTATAGAGAAGAATCATCGGGGAGAAAAAATTGTGATTGATTTTAACTGTTATTACATGTGAATATAGTACTGTCCCATATTTCTACATTATTGTTACTGGTTGACTTTTGCAGCTGGTGCCGTGTTTGCCAGAGCGTAATACTATATGAGAGCCTTAACGATGATCCATTGGCTAATGTTGTTGCAAAACAATAGAAGGTTAGTTAAAGCAAAGCCAAGGGCAACGCAAAGAATGAACTCTGAGTTAGACAATGAACGATTGACTGTTTTACGAGCAACATCCCTTGATCGAAAAATTAATTCACTAAATCACACTTTCTTGAAGCGACATTGAATGATTTTGAAAAGTTTTCCTGGTGCTAGGAATTGTTAAGCAGCTATCAACGATTTACTTACTTTCTCTGTTTCTTCTCCAACATGTCGTTCCTAGAGTTCTGCTTCTCCAGGAGCAATCTCAAGTCGTTCATCTCAGAGGCCAGTTTCTGGGTTTTCCGCTTCCACTGTCCAACGACCTGCCTCTGCTCCTCAACCTCTTCATAAGCATCTGAGAGCTGAAGAACACATCACAGAACATAAGTTATATTATAGTGTATTGTAAATTGTCTATCAGGATTATTGATTAGTAAGGCATGACTCTAAGGCACTACTACAAAATAATGTAATTTTTGAATAACGATAACCATTCCGTTTGAACAACCCAAAATTCAATTTAACTAAACAAGAACACACATAAAAAAAAATAATAGAATGTTTTATATAAATCAAGGGAGAATAGTAATATTTTCATAGAACAACAATATGTTTTTTAGGTTTTTCTAATACAGGTTAAAAGTTTAGAGAGTAGAATATATTATTGGAGTAGTTTGTGAAGCTGAACATTTTCGATGGAAAATTATCAAATAGAAGAAAGAATGGTAGCTCTTAATTGACCCTGAATAAATCAATTGCTGCTGGTATTAACTGATTGACATGGGAAAAAATAGAGGTTGGTTTATCCAGCCATAATTTAAAAACAGTATGACCAACCAGTCTGACCAAATTTCTAAGAATCTAGTAATTTCCGTTTCCATCCTTATCACAGTAATAAAATATAAATATCCAAGCAGGTATAGTTTTGTTATGAACTTGACTTTGTCAAATAAATTTTAGTGTGTATAATTGAATCGAGTAAATAATTTTATTGCCATAATAGGTGTTCGTGTAGTGGGTTTTAATCAAGTATTCATATTTTCAAGAGTAAAAGGACAGTACTGTAATATAGAAGAAACAGATATCTCTATAGAGTATAGTAAATCAGTTTAGTTATATCACCAACTTGATCAGTTTGCATACTTTAATTGTTACTTGAGTTCAATAAATGAAAAAAAAGCAAAACTAAACATTATTTGCAACTATATTTTGCATTCATTAAACACAAATACTTGTTGGTGAGGCCAATTACCACCTAGGGTATCCATGGCCATGGGAGTAAGAGTAAGTAAAATACAAATAATACATTAATTTCTACAGTATTTTGCATGACTAGGTTTCATACACGTTTTACCTGACCATATAGGTTATCTGACCTCAGCGTGTTCCCGTGAGAGTCTTTAAGAGACAGTAACCTTTGATATTATCTATTAAAGGGAATTGCAATAAAATATCCGCACCTTTTTTTCAAACTGTTTCTTGAGTGCCACAAGCTGTTCTAGATCGTCCTGATGCTGTTGTTGTAGTCTGCGTCGGGTGAACGCCAGCTCTCGCGCAGCTCGCTCATAACGCTGTTTATACGCAGACTCGTCATCACCTTCCCCCTCTAACGCTCCGTTCAACTCGGAGCTGCGACTGTACATGAGCTCCATCTCCAGTCTCTCGCTGTTCTCCATCAACTGTTGCTTCTGTTTCTGTTAAATGAAAGAGAAAAAGATATCAATATAGGTAACACTTTACACAAATTGAGTTTGAAAGTTTATCCAATAAATTTTTCCTTGAGTACAGCTGTGGTCCCATTTTTCACGACAAAGAAATACAGAAAGATATGGAGCTACTGCAATAGTGTGAATCTGGAAAATTAAACGATTTTCATTTTTGAAAGTTCTGTAAGCTTTGCAATTAACTGGTTTTCCCAATGGTAATATATTTTACACAATTATTTGGCTAGTAAAAAAGGTACAGCTTGTGCTTAAGAGTGAAATAGAATGATAAACTGTTTTGATAATCGTTTAGCTACAGTGACCTGCTACTCTACGGTTATCAAAGATGTGTTCAATCGTACGCTCCGGGTGAAGACATTTTGTTGCTGTGTAACCACAAACTGTGGTTGTATGTTTGTAATGATTTTAACCTTATAAAAACCTTATCAAGATGAATTTATTGTAGAACAGTTAGGTTTCAAAATTTTAGATTGTGCCTAAATTAAATCATATTTGCCAAAGCAAACTAAAATAGGAAAGAAATGTGATGCAAAGTTGCTTGCAATGTTTAATTATATGGTCTAGTATCATCATAACTCATGATAAGAATCACTAGGTACAGTATACGTTAATTACACAGACTTTTGAGTACTACAGCACATTAAAGCTGGATCTATTCTAATTCTAAATTTTAAGCACTTGTCACTAAACATATCTTGGTGACCTTTGCAATAATTGTAATGTTTTTATACCTGGATATCTCCTAGTTCTTTCTCCAGCCTCATTTTCTCCGCACTCTCCATCTTCAGTCTCTGATTGGCTAGAGCTGCAGACGAACGTTCCTCCGCAAGGTCCATCGTCAACTCGCTCAACTGAAACGTAATTTGTATGTTCAGTGGAATCTCGATAACAAAAAATATGATAGTAAAATGTTCTCTATTACCGTATAGGTCATTATATATTCAAAAGTAAAGTGTCCCTAAAATAGACCGGGGTACACCGACCTTTACACACTGCTAAGGTGAGAAATGTCTACTTCCACTTAAAAAAATTACAGTTCTCTGTTTCTTGTCCAAGAGATATGATGTAAGTCTTCTGAAATTTTACAAGTATTATCAATATCAATATCAATCATTGAGATGGGGACGCCACCTAGGTGCGTATTTTAACCCAAATATGAGTGAAGGATGAGTGTAGAATGGTGTGAGATGATCTGTGTAGCTTTGTAACTGACTAAGATCAGCAGTTTCATTAGTCAGGATCATTTATTTAAAGCCCAATGATCAGGAACAGCTGGGTCCAGTTTCGAACCATCAGAAAGCTACTGACTTTTCTCAGGATCGAACAAGCGACCTTTTGTTTACTAGGCGAGCACTATAACCACTCAGCTACCCAGCCAGGATTACATTTTGTCTCAGGATGTTTTTGTTTATTGACAGCATCTCAGGGGGGTGGGATTTGAACCCGGGACCTCAGGGACCGAAGTCCCGCGCTCTACCCACTACACCAGTCGCTCCCCTGTAATACCAACTTTTAACTGTAATGTTAAAATGTACATTAGGCTATTAAATTTTGTTTAAAACTACTTTGTGTTTGTTTTCAACAACCTTTTTTGTAAGAAGTCCAACCATCCAGGTTTTTTTACAAGCAGAATTGTATATAAGATAAATTTCCCTGAAGAAAATACAACTTTTGGGTTTTTATGGTTTTAAAATTATAACAACCTCCTATGTGTTTGAAGTTTTGTAAAGCACATTTGTGGCAATAATTATAATTATATCACAAAGAGCTTTGCTGTTCTTTTTGTACCAAACATTCAGATAAATAAAAATTTCACGGGATATTAGTGGGCTAAAAATATAGACCTACAGATATTTAAATCAAGCGAGATGCTTTTGGATCTTATCTCGTATAGACATCCCAACACTCTTTCTACTTTTAGCACAGGACAAAAGGCTTAGGCCTATAAAAAGAATTAGAGGCAATGGAAAGACTTTTAGTGATAACCTTTTAGGATTTAAAAGCAATAATTTACTGAGTGCAGCCTATTATAATTATCATTATCTATAATCTCTGTTCCGAATACAGTATTTCATTTGATCAAGTACAGATAAAGATGTTTGCTTTGTTTATTAATTTAATTCAATACTTTTGTGATTCAAAACTCAACTGAAAATAATACAATATTTCTAAGAAGGAAATAAAACAGAAAAATTGCATATCTATAATCTCTGTTCCGAATACAGTATTTCATTTGATCAAGTACAGATAAAGATGTTTGCTTTGTTTATTCATTTAATTCAATACTTTTGTGATTCAAAACTCAACTGAAAATAATACAATATTTCTAAGAAGGAAATAAAACAGAAAAATTGCATTGTATTACTGCTATTCCTCAAATATGAAACTATAGCTGGTACAATATTTACTGAAAATAGAAATAGAATGTGGTATATTTATTTGAGTCAGCGTCAATAGCAAAGTAATAAACTATGATTGCTTCCTTTTCCATCTTGAAGTCTATAAATAAGTTGATGGTGTGCATTCTACTGCAGCGGCTGTAGCCATCACAAATTTATTTTTTACAAATGTGTTATTAATAGTGAAATTATCAAAATTTAATTTATTTTGACAAATTATTATTTAATAGATTTTCATCAATTAATTTGTAGAAGAATCTTTGTATTGGATTTAAAACACCCAAAGCAATTGATGTTTGATTTTTATTGTCATAAGTGCATATGATGTACTTATCCGCAAAGTAGACTTTTAAAATTTGTTCATGAATCATAAAAGATGAAGCACTCAAGGAAAAGTGGTTAAGTAGATTTATCGATTGACAAAGGTTTTTGAAAAACATTAGTCTTTGTGTTACGATGATACTCAAACATAAGTGGTTGGTTATGAAATACAAAAGAATTATGGTATAATTTGTTTAGGATTTTTTAAATTTAGAGTTTTTCTACTGTAACTGTGTTTTTCAAGGCATTTCTTTATGTAAAAACGTCAAGCGCTTTTCGCCATAGACTACAGTATTGCGGTGATCTAAGGACAGAATATTGTTACAGTATTAGTTAGATGAGGGAGCCAGTAGTGATGACAGATATGAGATGGATAGTTTGGGCAACTGGTCTTGAACCAGCGACGTCTCACTTATCAGCCCAAGACACTTCCTTTCAAAGTAATGTTAATTTCCAAGGATCTTAAACACAAGGGGAAAATAAGTCTTTTAAAATGTACAATAGATAGATAGGATTACAAAGAATGGCAGCAGTTACCTCGTCCATCTCAGACACCACATCACACGAGTTGCTACACACAGATTTGTCCCGACCCCAGTATTGGAACCCTCTAATCATGATGTTGGACACACTACTGCTGCGTTTCACAGCGCGTAGGTCTACCGAGGGCTCTCGATGTCCCAGCCGCTTCCATTCGTCCATCACGTGGTCGGTCCGCTGCAGAAACTCACTGATCCGCGCAGACAGCTGGGCCGAGCTCGTCTCTAAGTCTTTGCGCCCAGGCACTGCGGCACGTTGTTGCCTCCTCATGCCCATCACGAAGCTACTTCCGCCCGACACCGGTTTGTTCCGTCTGAGATAATCGGGGTTGAAGGAGTCGCACCTCTGTAGCTCCGCGTTGCCCGGAGGGTAAGACTCTGTGATGGAGTCCACTTCGCTCGTCGTAGAGCAGCAGGAAGGTGAGCGAGACGCCACGGAGAGTCGTCGCAACATGATGGGTTTGTACTTCCATATTGTCCGGCCGACCGAGTCTGCGCGTCGCTCATCTGTGACAGACGTGGACCGGTGATCCTTCGACGTGGAGGGGACGTTGTTGGTAAACAGTTTGTGGAATCGCGAGGAGTCCGAGGAGAACATGTCCGCGCGAGGCCGGCCGGACACTGGCCAACAAGTGATCTCGGCTCACATTCTGGCACTTGGCCAGTCACTCGCCGACACTCTACATCTTGTTTGTTACAACTGTTTCCTTGGATAAACAATTCACGTTAGAAAATGTCTTATTCGAATACTCTCAGATGGAAATAAAGCAGTAAAGCATTTTTAATGATTTAAAAAACAATTATTTTATGTAGGCTTCAAGGACATTGAACTCGTTATATCCTAATGGCTGTGCATTATTCTTGGCTGGCGAGCTGACAGCTTCCGTCTCATTAAAGTTGGGTTCATAGAACAGAAATGTGCTGGTGATTTTAGGATATTCAGATTTGTAAGTGGTAAAACTGCATTTTTGCCTAGTTTGTGTATTGTTTGATAAAATTAAGGGTGAAGAAATTTAAATTAAGAATTAAAATTTGAAATAATAGAATTAAACTGATAAAAACATTACAAAGTTATAATTTGCTTATCCTCAATTAATAGAGACACAATATATTGAAAACCCCAAAAGTCTATATTTAAATACAAATTTTTAACAGCCGGTAAAAAAATAACATCTAAACTATTGAAGTCAGTTTAAGTTAAGTAAACAAGAAAAACTGTAATTTTTTTAAAAATATACTATTGGTATCTAAATAAAAATGTTAAGTCGAATTATTTTTTAAACTCATTTTAAGACAATGTCTGGACAGTTGTTAATATACAATAGCTATTTCATAAAAAACTAACATAAGAGTTTCGAGATCAAAATATAAATTTATAAGAGTAGATCGTAAAACAAAAATCTTAAATAAATATTTCTTTCTGTAAAAGAAAGGTAAAAGAACAGTTGAAAATCATTTGTTTTTATAGGTGGAAAATTGTATTAAATTTGAGCACAGTTTGTGTATGGTTTACAGTGGCTGCGGGAATAAAAGTGTTGAACGACGAACAAGTTGAAGTATTAGAGCTAGCCGAAGCTGGCATCCGGCCAACAGACACCGGAAAAGGAGTCTATTGTTATACAAATACACTTGCATCGTGGAATGCAGGTACAGTAAATATAAAGCAATAAAAACAGAAAATTTACCTTATTGACAAATACACTTGAGACACTACCAGCATTTAGGAATGTGGCAGCATTGACATACTTTTGATATTAATACAATAAACAGTCTGTAGATAAAAAAAAGTTAACCATTTGAAAATGTTACCGTACCAATAAAAAGTTATTACAATAATACATGTATGTCAACAGAAATTAACAGTTGCTTGATGGAAATCCGTTGAGATTTTATACATTGTTTTTTCTAGTTTGATATATTCGTTGTTTAGTCAGCTTGTTTATCAATGTAATTGTATTAGGGGAGCGAGCTGGTCTAGAGGTAGAGAACAAAGCTTCGGTCCCCAAAGTCCCGGTTCAAATCCCGCCAATCACCAATGGATTTTATCTATGTGATAATGCCGCGGCCCTCAAGGACTAGCTTGAAGTAATGTGTAAAATGGGTCCGGGCATGAATCTAATATCCTGGAATGTGAAATTGGAACATAAATATTATGGATAATTCAAAAATATTTTTAAGACTGGATAAAGGTCTTGCAGTAGAATTTAAAAAGGTTAAAGATTTTATTGACAATTTTCACAAGAATGTAAAAAAGTGCCACATTTATAATTATTTTAAATCTAAAAAATACTAAATATTTAGTTTTTTCTAGTTCAAAATGTAGGAAAATTTGTTATGGTTTAATATTTCTCAATAGATTTTTAAAATTCTGCGTATTTACTTTGCTAGCTATTACTTATAATCCAGAGTTACTAATTACTCTGTATTTTTAACCTTTATGTTGTAACATGTATTTAAAATATCAAATGTATCAAACCAATACAGAATCAAATAACACTTATATCATACCCTGCCTTCAATAAAAGATGTTTAAGGTTTATTGGAAAATACAGGAATAGTAGGAATCCCAAAGTAAGGCAATAAGTTTTGTTC